TGCTGCTGAATGGTGGCCAGGAGCTGGTGGCTCTCACTCACTCCTTGTGCTCAGATGAGAGCTGACTCATGTTTTTAAGAGAGAACGTCTCCTCAGTGCAAGGATTTTTAAAAAATCTGCTGTAATTCTGATTTTTGGAAGCTGGAAAAACAACTCAAATTTTATTCCTTTTTGACCATTTTTTGAATGCCCAAGTTTTCACTTTGTCAACTTTTGCATAGAAAGTTTTTTGAGGAATTTCTGAAGACCTTTCACTCTGTCAATCAATGACTAGCTGAGTATTAGATTCCTCCCTGTGTGAAAGCTGTGTGTTCTGAGTAGTTACCAGCCCAGTAGTAGTAAATTGAAAAGTCCCAGGTTGGAAGCTTGTGTTCTGAGTTGCTACCAGCCCAGCAGTTGTGAATTATAAAGTATCTTTTTTTAATTTATTTTTTAGGGTGTTCAAGTAAGTATGAACGGATGCTCTGAGATCACTGCCCAAATCTTGCTTGTTTTGAAACAGATTATAGGATTTCTTTTAGGAATCAGTTAAGTACAGCCCTGTCTAACTCCTGAGAAAAGCTTTTCCTTTTTCCTGCCAGAACATGCCTCTTGCAGACAGAAAGGATGTAGGGACATGCAAATCCCTGCCCTATCAGTGGCTTTGATGTCGTTCTTCCTGCAGACAGGCACTTTTGGACTTACATCTTCACCTCAAAGAAGTAGGATGTGCAGAGCATAAGGAAAGATCATAAGTGGTCCCAATATACAGCTCCCTTTCTGTCCTTCAGTACACCCTGTACCTAATCAATCTGCTCATCCTATGCCTCTCACTTCTGGTCAATTAAACACCACTGCTGGAATTATGATTTCCTTTGATATATGGTTCTTGATATGAAAATGTCCTCCACTTGTTTTCTTGGCTGCAACTTCAAACTGGTAAGTTTTAATTTCTTGGTGCAATTATCAACTTTCACATAAGAAGGCCCATGACTAAATTTTTGGAAGGGCAGTGACTTCTGTCCTCTCCCTAAAATGTGTTCAGGCCCTATTCCCACAGTTACTCTGCCAGGGTTTTTTCAGTTGCTGGTAAAGTGAGAATAGAAAAGAGGCCTGAGAACTGGTGGTACTTGATGGAGTTGAGGGGAAAGTAGTTGGAGATGCTAAAATATTGAAGTCTTCAGGTTCAGGAGTCTTTGCTTGCTACTCAGCTCTTGCTTATATTACAATGTGTTTTATTATTTTATAAATATATATATATAGGTATCTATACTTATGTGCTTATAAGAGCATAACTTTGCAGTGCTTTTATTTTGCATATAAGGAAATTAGGATACTTTTTAATTATGAGCCAAAAAACCCCTTTTCCTTGCTCATGTGTGCAAAGGGCCAGTGTTTAACGGGGAGAGAATACCAAGGAGTCAGAGCAGAGGTAAGATGCAGATCTGCCTGCTGCACTTATGATTGTGCATGCAATACTGTGTCTTCCTGCTTTAGTCTTGGGTTTGGTGCTCCTGACAGCCAAGTGCACATCCAAGGAGAACCTTCTGCTTTCATCCTGGTCTGGAGGGGAAACTGCTGGCACTGGGCATAGCCAAGGGAGTGGTGACAGGAATCTGCAGCTCTAGTGCTGCTGGGAATTCCTGCAGCAACCAAAGCAGGTCTAGGGGCACTTTTCTTTGGGTCTCAACTGATCTCCTCTGCTCTGCCCTGGTCATAGAGGGGCAGATCAGCACACTGTCATCTATACCAAGCACTGTGGCAGCACTGCCCGTGGCTCCTGCCTGCAGAGGAGCAGGGCTGTGGCAGGGATAGCCTCAGGAGCAGGTTTTACAGCACTCTGAGCAGGCCAACCCACAGTCTAAGCAGTCCCTGAGCTCTGGCTCATGCAGAAATGTCACCTGTTTATCTCCAGTGTGCAGAGCACAGTGTCCACACAGAATCTCACGCACACACCCTGGCACAAAAGTGAGGCCTCTGCTGCTCTGCAGCTATCCAGCAAGGATAGAGTTCTTCCAGTCTCAGGATTCTGGTTCTTTAAGCTGTTATTTGGAAGCAGTAATTCACTAGGAAGGACGTCTCTGCATGAGGTTGTTTGAAAGCCTGCTGCAGGATCTTCTGTCATGCAGGAACTGCAGGCCCTGGTCTTTTGCTTCTGCTACTGTAATTTCAAAATATGTGTGCCTTTCTGGGATGGAGTTCAGTGGCTCAAGCAGGAGTCAATCTTTTGTGCTTACTTTGGCTTCTTTCTCCACTAAGCAGTCTCCAGGTTCCTGTAACGGGCCAGCCAGTGCCAACCTCTAATTATTCCCTTTCTGTGCATATTTGTGACAATTTTGCTCACTACAGCCATGGTTGCTTTAAGCTAAACAACATTTTCAGGTTGAACAGGCCAGTATCAGGGTGGTTATCAGATGCAGGAGATTCATCGTATTTGCTCTGGCCTTTGGTTCCCAGATGATATAATGGCAAATTGTGTTCCTGGAAGCTGGCTCACAAGATTGCATTGCCTCAACACATGTGGAGGCATTTTCTCCTGAGTGATGGGGAGCAAAGGGGGAGGTGGAAGTGTGGGGCACAGTTGCTCTCAGTGCTCAGCAAAGGCCAGATATGGCTGATGTTTCTTTGTGTTGGGAAAGTGAAGCAGCAGCAGTTGTGCCCAGGTCACTCGCCTGAAAAGACTTTGGTGGTTTGAGCCATAATTAATTTTAAAGTAGCTGCTACTTGCACAGCAGTAAGAGGTTGTGCTTGTCTCCCTTTAGACATTTCCCTCTCCTCTTTTCTCCTCCTCATTCCTCTAAGTAGGTGCCTTTTGAAACCCTCCTCTTTTTAGGTTTGAACTACCTTTCCAGGTGACTGGAGGTGGCTTGGTGCTTTGAAGGAGAGAAATCTAACACTTATTCCCTGCTCAGCTGGACATAAAAGTGAAGCAAGACCAGACCTGGTAGTAGGTTCTGTAGTTGTTACCAGAGCATGAAGTGTCAGCAGTCCTGGGGTGGGCTGGGTCCACTTCTTATGCACATCTGTCCTAGACAAAGTTAAAGGACCAGAGAGGCTTTTGTTCCACATTTGCTTTCTTTGGGCTGTAAGCACTTCCCTGCTAGCACAGCCACAGCTGCTGGTGGAAGACTGGGATCAAGGCAGAAATCTTGGCAAATGTTCTAAGGTAAAGAGAAAGATAGGAGCAAAATGCAGCATGAATCAATGGCCTTTAGGATTTTCCAGCTCTTTTCCTGGCTGAGGTATAAGGCACTCTGACAGTGACCTCCCTGGTCCAGAGCTCTTGCTCTTATTTAAAACGCATGTTGGGGAGAAGTGTCTAAGCCAGCTGTGCCCCAGCTGCACAGCTGGTACAGCTGCTCAGTGCTTGGCAGCCTGCCTGGACCTGGAGGCTGCTGCATGACCTGCTCTGGAGGCATTGCTCCAGCATGGACTGTCCCCATAAACGGTGGGTGGCAGGCAGCTGCCTGAGATGGGGCTGGGAGCAGTGCAGCTGCTCTGGCTGATGCCATCATCAGCCCTTGGAGGGAGATTCTGAATAGGCAGCCTCATTTCACACCCTCCTCAGGGGAGGCCATCCACAAAGTGCCACCTTGTGCCATCCTGGGGGTTGGCATGAGAGTGATGCTTGTGGGACGGAGGCTGCCGCTTGCCAACACTTGTGGCACTGGAAGGTGTTCTGCAGCTGCCCAGGGAGGTTCAGCTTCCATGATTCCAGGTGGCACACACTGCTTCAAAAGCTCTTACCTAGTGTTCTCCTTATTCATATATGTGTGTGTATCTATCCAAATAATTTTCAATGGTGGTATCTTGGAAGATGTCTAGATGAAGTTGTTTTCCTGTTACTACAGCATACATATTACCTAGGTTTGTTCCTTTTTAATAATTTTTAAAAGAGCCACACTTTCCATTTCTCTTATTTGTTTCTTGCAAACCTGTTTGGTAAAGCTTTGTTTCTGACTGTCCCTATTCTTCCCCTTGCCTTTGATACAATTACACTCAAAATCTTAGACATTGATATTTTATCCTTAGCATTTTTCCCTTTAAATTTTGCATTGCCTTTAATGGGTCAGTTAAAGTCCCTCTCAATTTCTTTGCCTTCTACCATTTCAAAGATATGTATTGAAAGTATATTTTATTTTCTGTAGTCTTAACTGATCCTTTGTGGCATTGTTGTTTTTTTCTCTATTTTCTGTTAAAAAAAAAAGTTTAAAAAAAATCAGTCTTTCAAATAATATCTCCCAGAACCATATTGACTTTTTCTTAGTCCACTCCAGAATATGTGTAAAATAATTCTTTACTTTAAACATTTTTTGCTCAGGATTTTCCAGCTTACTTTTGCACTTGTTGATTTAATATCTCCCCTCACTCACTGCTTATATTTACACTGAACATTTGTTTTCATTTTTGGGTTATTGTTGTGTTCAGTGCAGTTTTATCACATGGAGTGCAAGTCAAATAGTCTGTAATTGATTGCACATTTTCCTATCATAATTAGCTCCTGCCAATTAACTTGTCATCTTGTTGATAGGATTATTGCTATCTGTATGCTGCAGTAATTGTGCTTACTGAGGGATATTCATGCAGTGGTGCTGATGACTGCAATAGCTGGAAATTGAAAATATAGTTTGAAAATCTATAAAAATATTTCCTTAATCAATCTCTTCTCTTCTTACACCAATCTGTTGCACAAGGCAAGATATTATTTATCTCTACTGTTGTTTTTAATCCCTGCATTATTACCCTATTTAACAGCTGCACTATTCACTGTGAGATGGTTTCTGCACAAAATGGGATGTTTCTCACTATATTGCATAATTTCTCTTCTGGAAGAGGAGTTATGGGAAAACCTTCCCTGGTTTTCAAGAATCACTGATATGAGGAATGGAGATGTTTTATTTGGACCACTGTGTTTAATTGCTGCAGAAGAGGAGCAGCTCTGTGTGGATTTGCCTGTTTCCTTTCCAAACAATATTCTGTGGTAATGGCCACAGGTACCATGTTTAATTAATTATGCTCAATGGGAGGAAAAAGTACTTAAATTTATTTTAAATCCGAATTTTTCATCAAATGACAGAAGTTGTTACATTGTGAGATGTAGCGCATAACATATTCATCTTCTGTCTTCCTTTTTCCTGGACCTTGTCGTCACCCTATTTTCAATCAAGGCATCTGTTCCTGAACTGAGGAGTTGTTGCATATTTGATCACTCCTTGGTTGAATTAATTCCTTTCCTCTCCCCGCCCCTCTTCCATTTCTTCCATTTCTGTTTCTCTTGCAGGAGGTCTGGTGCTGTGTGGATTTACCACAGATTCATGTGGTGAAACCACAGTGCTTGCTGGTTCTTTCTTGTTGTTCTCCTTCTGCCTTCTCAGACTGCCCGTACACATTGTGCTGCCTCTCTACACACCTCATACAAGGACACTGACCCCAAAAGCGTTATTTTCTTCCCTGTTCTCTCTTGCCTCAGATATTTACCAACAGCTGTAATAAAAATATTTTAAAACCTTGCCTCATATACATCCTTGGACCATCACAGGTGTAACATATCCACCATGAATAATATACTGTTCTGTTTGCGTCTTTTACGGCCTCTAAGCATGGAGCTTAATGTCATCATTACCTGCTGTAATCCCAAGACCTCCTTGTGGAGCAAGAACAGCTCATTTCACAGACCAGTGCTGGGTGTGCATAACTGGGGCTTGTTGTCTCCTTGCTATGAAATTATTAATCTACTGCTTGATTGTCTGTTCCCATTGCAGCTTCCAGAGTGCTGTCCTGGGATGGGCAGTGCTGCTTCTGGAAAAGTCCAGTGGCAAAGATCCCTGTGTGTGAGGGAAGAGTGTTTGCAACCTGCCAGATTTCTGAATGGGGCTGTTTTGGGCCCTTAGTAAGAGGCAGCAGAGCGCTTAGCTGAGTTTATTTCCAGCTTTGTTGCCTGCCACTGCTCCTGGCCACAGCACAGTCCTGGAAATTTTGGGTCAGGCTGCGATGCAGGACCTTGCCCTATGCCCATGACCTCCCCGCTAAGAAGCAGCAGCGGGAGGGAATTCACTGGGAATTCGTGTTTCGACTCTTACCTCTTCCCAGCAGGTCTCGGGGCTTCGGCTCCCTCAGGCAGCGCTGCGGAGGCACCTGGCAGCGGTGGTGTCCCCTTTGTGAAGGGACAGAGCCGGGCAGAGGCGGCGGAGAGTGGGAGCCAAGCGGTGCCGGCCCGGGACAGAGCCCGGCGGGAGCCCCTCTCACCGGCGCGGGGAACGAGCCCCTCTGCACTGGCCATGAAATCAGTCATGTGTAGGTTTTTGTCCAGCCCTGGGGGGTGGGGGAAGGAATGTGGGTTGGGCGAAGTCTAGGATTACACCACCGCTGAATTTTTTCTTTCCACACTTTAAATAGCCAGCACCTTTCGGTCCTGCCTTCGCCTCTCCCTTCGCCCGCGCCCCGACAGCGCCGTCCGCAAGGTAACCCCGTTCGCTTCTGCCCTGCTCCCCCTGTGTTCCTCACCCTACCGGGGCTGCCGAGGGTGGGAGGTCATGGAGCATTTTCTGCCTGTTTAATAATTCTCTAGTGTGACGGGGTCCTCCCAGCCCTTTCTTTCGGCCGCTGTCAAACGCTTGCTCGTATTTCTTAGCCCTCTTCATGTCCCCAGGTGTTTTATAGAGGGACTGAGCCAGGGGGAGGGGAGAGGTTGAAAGCGCCGATTTGCCCTTTTTTAGTTCTCCCCGGAGAGGGGAGAGTGTAATTTTCTGCCAGTGCCTTTTCTTGAGCTCCTGGCGAGGGAGTTGCGGGCAGGGATGAATGTCAGCGTGAGGCTGGGGGAGCACGCTCGGCAGGGCATGGAGGAGGCTTGAAGGCTGGCACTGTGGGGAGAAGGTGCCCTCCTTGGCACGAGGTCCTCAGCAATCCCAGCTTTGACACTGGGGATTGGTGAGAACAACAGTCCTCACCCTTTTTGCTGTAGAACTTGGCAGCCAGCGGGATATCTTGCCTGGAAGGAACAAGCTCAACCCTCCATGATCCTTCTAAATGGTGTTCTCTTGGGGGTACCTGGGGGAAGGTGGGACAGTGGAGTGGTGCCCACCTGCTCTCTGCTGAGTTTCTCTTAGCACAGATGTATTTAGAGATGGTGCCAAAGGATTTGAGAGCAGTACTGTGGGAAGCTTTGCGGGAAACGGGCAGATGTTTGGAAGGGCAGACCTTGAGAAAGGCAAGATGCCAGATGCCAATGACTTCTGCACACTTTATCCTACTGTTAGAAGGATAGCACCATTCTGAAAATCACCTTTTCATGTAGTCTTGAAGATTGCCAGCAACAGTTGCTGCCATCAAAAGGATAAACTTGCTTTCCTATCATTTCAGTTTGTTTTCTTCCTGTGTCCAGGACTTCTGTGTGCTTCATGGTATCCATCACATGGTCTGTAAAACCAGGTCAAGGCAACAGAAGAGAAACCCTTATAAAATATCTTGTCAAGTATTTGATCCTGCTGTCATCCCACTCCAGCCCTAAGTCTGTTTCCCACACCTCACACAGTGGGAGCTCCAGCCTGAGCTGCTGGGTCTTCTTTGTTACACTGGGCTTAGAGGATGGGCTGCAGACAGGACTGTTTTGAGATGTGGCAATTTAAAATAATGAAACTATTAGTGGCTTACGAGGACTAGTTTTGGACTCATTAGTGAAAATGCATGTGTACTCTTAGCACCAGCAGGAATCTGTATGAGGAGAAAGGGAAGGACAATTTGAGATGTGTGTGTGCATGTCCTTGCCCCTCTCTTGCCTCCCATGGTCCAAATTTCTGCATTTTTGCATGGCTTGTGCTGAATGTAATGAAGGAAACTCTTTTTGAAGGTGGGATGGATTACAGAGTCCCTGGTGCTGTCAGCAATGGTGAAATGGTGCCCACACACCCTGGCATGGAAAAGGAGAAGGAAGAAGAAGAGGAGAAGGACCAGACACTGGAGCGTGGTCAATGGAACAACAAGCTGGAGTATGTCTTGTCCGTGGCTGGGGAGATCATCGGCTTGGGAAATGTCTGGCGCTTCCCCTACCTCTGCTACAAGAACGGTGGAGGTAAGTGCAGCCAGGGCCACCTGGTCACCAGCACCACTCCACCATCCCTCCCAGCTCCTCAGCTGTGCCCATAAGTCTGAAGAGGAGGTGCCAACTTGCCAACATGGTGCTGTCGTCTGGGCCCCGACCAGGGGCTTGTTTTGAACCCAATGGGACATGGATAACAGTGGCAATATCCCAGGGTTTCTGACAGCTGTAGCTGCATTTCCCTGAGATGGATGGAATTTCCCCCTGCTCCTGCTGGTGAAGTGGGTGGCTGTATGCAGAGGGAAGGCTGGAAGAGCCAGGACAGAACTTGGCTTTCTGAGCCATGTGTCTTACTTCAGGCATCGCTTCCTTGAGGAGCACCAGGCATCCTGTGCAAATTGGATGGTGGGTCCTGCTGGGTGAGCAGGGAGTGGTGTGAGAGGCCACAGGGCCCCAGTGTCTTTGCAGGCTGTGTGAGCAGGAACTCGGGGGACTCCCAAGAGTTCTTGAACACAAGTCTTGCTCATGTGTGTGTCCGTGGAGAGCTGGCCCCTGGGTCCTGGAGGCAGGTGGCAGGGACAGGGTAGAGTGCAGTGATTTCTCCTGCCTTGGGGTAGAAGTACAACACCACTCCCGCCCCACATGGTATTCCCTTGGCATCTACCAGAGCTGTAAGGTGTGGGAGAGGGAACCCCTGCCTCTGATCCCCACAGAAGGGCTGTGGGAGTGTGGGTGGATGTGGCTGATGCAGAGACAGGGAAGGAGGGTGTTGCTACTGGCACCGAGGTGTGAGAGCACGCCAGTGCTGCCCTGGCTGTGCTCAGCCATCCACCCCTCGGCCAGGCTGTACTGCGCCTTGGCAGCAGACATGGGCTCGCTGTGCAGGTGGAGGGTTGCTGCGGGCTTCCACGCTTTGTGACTGCCCTTTAAAGGACAAAACTTTAAAAAATGAAAACACCAAGTTTTTCTCAACTTTGGCTTGCAGACATGTAGAGAGGGAGCTGCTCTCTCTGTCTGGTGATTAGTTGCTAATTGGGCCCTCCAGAGGGTCAGGGGAGAGGGGAAGCGGTGGGTGCTTGGCTGGGAGCTGGCAGGGAGTGAGCACTGAGGACCCGGGGCTAAAATCCCCTGGCTTGAGTTTGCAGTGGTCTCATGGGCCTCACTAAACTGCTTTCATCCCAGTGGCATAAAAGAGGATTAAACACTGTTTAACTACTTTCACGCCGTGCTTTCTTCGGTGCTTATTTCTTTTTACCAGGTGATCCGGCAGTCTCTTTCCCTGTTTAAAAAGGAGACTTTTCCCACATGCTCTTTTTCTATGGGAAATGCTTCTTGGCTGCTTATTGAGCTGTGTCTGGTCCCACTGATGCAAATTTCCTTGGGTACTATTCCATCAATGGGAGCAGAACCTGCAATCCTGTCCAGGCAGCCCTTGCTCCTGGGTGCCAGGGAAGAGCTCAGGGTGTGCTCTGGGGAGAGAGGAGCTCCCATGTGAGCAGCAGAGGCAAGACTTTCTGGCCCCCTTTCCATGAGGTTAGAGCAAGGATGGTGCATGAGACTCTTGCATGGTGAGGAAACAGTTTCTGTAAGATTTCTCCTAGAGCAGAGCAGTGTGATGAGGTAGTGCAGGACACAAGGCTCCCTCCTGCCTCATGGAACCCAGCTGACTGCAGACAGCACTGTATCAAAACCCTTGTAACATCTCAAGTTGAATTTTAAAAGTTCTCAGAGGTTTTGCCTTATACTTCTTTAGAAATGCTGGTCCAGGCACTTGCTTCTCCCATTCTTCTATAAAGTGCAGGGCCTTCATTTAATTTCCAGGCCCAGATCAATCACAGCACTCCCATCAATCTGAGGTAGTTCTGCCCTGCTGGATAATTCCCTTTCCCTTCTGAACTGTGTGCAGACAGTGGTGATAACTGCTCACAGCTCCTGCTTTGCCTAAATATGAGCCTCTTCAAGAAACAGTATCTGCAAAATCTGAGTTATTTGAAGAGCCAGTCACTCTCCCTTTCTTTAGGGATATTTTCACATAACAAAGGAAGAGTAGTCCCTTACATATTTAATGCTCAATATATGAAACCAAAGCCCTACATAGTAGAGAAAAGCAACAAAGAAGAGTAAAAAAAGTGTTCTTTATGTGCGTGTTTGCTCTTGCTTTTGCCTGCAGTGGCAGGGCCAGGCCCTCCCTGGGCAGGCTGGCCCCACTGATTGGGAAATACCAGGGAAGCCTGTCTGGTGGTGTGGCTGCCAGCACTGCACCCCCTCCCCAGCTCCCCACACGTGCCAGTCCCAAGGCCCCTCACTGCTGAAAATGAGATGGGGAGGGCACTGGGGATGGTTATAGAGTAATTTCTGGCTGTGTCCCCTGCTCTGCCAATTGATGGGGGCAATTTAAAGAACACAGACACCTATAGAAAGAATAGCCTTATTCAACTATGAATATAAAGGTGACACAAAAGTAAAATTATACATTCAATAAAACTACACACTCGGCTTTAGCAACAAGCAAAAGGAAGCAAGGTAACACACCTAATCATTACTAAATTAAAGGATAGGGATTGGGAAAGATACATCAGCAATTACCTAAATACTTGTACCATCATCCAGAGTCCACAGTCACTGGGGAGCCCTGTCCCATAGTGAGGACCTGGGGAACCCTTCCCAGCAACTGGGAAAATCCTACACAGAGTGTCCACCTGTAGCTGAGGTCTCCAAATTAATCCTGAAAGTTGTTTCAGCGTTTATAGGCCCAAATCAGTAAGTCAAAGTGACTTGACAATATTTTTAGCACAGAAACACCTGGATCTGATGGCACATGGCCTTACCAGCAGGGGCAAGGGTTTGGCCAGAGCTCAGGCCTTGGCTGGGAAAGTTTTCCCCTAAAATACCCTACAAACAAGCCTCTGTTCATGACAGTTGGGAAAGTTGCTTAAAATTATATGTTTCTTGCAGATAACTACACAAGTTTATACAGAGCTAGCATAAGTGTCTTTATCATATATTTTTAGCTAAATAATACTGATGGTATTAATGACAAAGTGCTCAGGATTCATCCTCTAAGTCAGCTCTTGCTGAGGCCGGTTGCTCAGATCTCAGTACACCAATCTCCCCACCTGGGATGTGAGGGGATTAGGGCAGATTGCAGAGACATGTCTCTACAAATTTTTTTCTCTCCACCATAATTCTGTGCTATTCTACAGCCTACATGTCAGGACCTCCTGAAACTTGCAATAATCACAGGTTAGGGGACAGGCCAGAGTGCAGGCTGCAAATAAGGGAAAACTGGGC